TGACAATTGCTGTCGAAGCTGAAGACGCATTTCTGCAGACTGTCCAAGGTCATGAGGCTGATGTGCTCAAACATGTCCAGACGGGCGCTGCCCTCTGAGACCAGTCGCCGCCACTTGGCCTGGCCAGAAAAAAGAACAGGGCTGGGGCTTGGCCTTGGCTCCCAGAGCCCCTGCCCAACTACTCCTACCAGGATGGACTCCCCAGAGCCAGCCTCATGGTCTTCGGTCTAAGGCACCCAAACCCAGGGAGGATCACGTTCAGTAGGAGCAGAAGCTGTTCCTACTGAGAAATGAATGCCCAAGGCTGGCAATCAGTCCACGTCCCAGCTCTGCCTCTGTGCACCTTTAATCACTTGTTTGCTTCTCCTAAGTTCCACATGTCAAATCTTCAGCAACAGTTAACCTGATCTGCTTCAAAGGCTGATTATCGGAGATTAAAAACCCTGCTTCACCATTCATGCTCACTTACTAGCTAGGTGATCCTGAGCAAACTCCCTAATTTCTTTCACACACTCAGAATGATTATTTGTCATGGGCAAAATAACCTGTGCTATTCATGGTTGTGGAAAATAAATTGGACAATATGTATTAAGCAATTGGCAAGTGGTATAATTTCTGGTATACATCAAGTCTTCAGGGTTAGCTTTCCTTGTCTTCATAGAGATATATTGATTTTAAAAATATTTTTTAAAAATCTCTTATATTGGGAGAAGGAATCATGCATAGGTCCTGAATGCAAGGTTCCTAGCCTGGACCATTTCTCAAAGGTAAGTTTGTAGAAAATAACCCCAAAGGAAGATGGAATGACTCCTCTGGGTGAGATTCAGGCTAGTTTCTGTTTGCTATTAAAGCAGATTCCCTAAATCTAGTGTAATGGGATATACCAACGAGCAGGCACCTAAGGAAGCCAGCCTTGTCACCACCATGGGATTCGGTGGCTTGCAGAAAAGATTAAAGCAACAAGAAGCACAGGTTGCTTGGTGAGTCATGAGTAATCAACTACCCTTTGCCACTGATCCAGGAATCTCATGTCTTCTGGAAGAATCCAAGCTAACTTATTAACTTACAAGTAAGAAAAATCCTAAGCACTTCACAGAAACCTCACCTCCAACATTACTCTATTTCCCAAGTCCACATCTTTTGCAGTGGGATGTTTCAGCAAGAAAAGAAGGAGAATCTATTTTACCCCCATCTGATTATGTGATAGAATTCTGACTTTGGCCAATACAATGTGACTAAAATGAGGTCGTAAGCTCAATGAAGCCTATACTTCAAGAGACACTGCAGCCTCCTCTCACACCCATGAACCCTATCTCTGCCTTGGATCCCCAGATTATCTTCTGAAGGGACAGAATCACGCAGAAGAGTACAGTTGTCGGAGATGAGGACATTCTACATCAGTCAACCCCCAAACCTGCGAGGGAATCTTCCCAGGGTCATCAGAGTTGCCTGCCTGACCCTCAGCTGATCATACACCTCGAGTGATTCCATCCGCATCCGGAAGAACCAGCCTACTGACCTATACCCTTGTTAGCAACTCTAAACCTCATTGATTTTCAACCAATGGGTTCAGAAATGACTTGTTACGCAACAACAAATCCTTCAGCACTGTGGCTTTGCAGACCTTCTGTGAGAGAAGCTTGGAAACTAACCCCTTCTGAGCACCTACCATGCACCAGGGACATAACTCCACTATATTACTTAGGACAACTTTTAAGTACAGATTTTTATTCCCATTTTACTAATGTGGAAACCGAGGCACAGAAAGAAAGACCAATCGGTCTCAAAGTGGTTCATCAGAGCCAGATCTGTAGACCGGCTCTGTCTGTGACCCTTCTCCCACCCAGGTTCAACTTTGGACACTAGGTTCAAGAGACTCACATGCATGACATTCGTACTGTCATTGAAAATCTTCATATAGGGCTTCAGGATGTTGAAATGGAAGGCAGGTGTCAGCAGGCGACGATGGTGGTTCCATTTGTCACCAGAACTCAGCAAGAGCCCATCCCCTGGTAGGGCAGCCATGGGCAGTGGGCAAGGGTACCACCTCACCCTGGCACCCAGGGTTCCCCCAAGCCCTGTCACCTGCAGTTACTTACCCAGCCAGGGCTTCAGGAAGCTGTAGAAGATCACATCCTTCAGTGCAACCGCAGCTGACATGAACAAGAACAATTAGGGCCATGGAGAGGGGTAACAGGGGGGGGCTGTGGGAGGAGGTGGAGGCTCCCAGGCAGGGCTTGCACTTCCCCCCTCTAAGACCAGCATAGCAGGAAGGATTCCAGGGGAGAGGAAATAGGGAAAAGGGAGGAGGCTAGAGGGGACCAGGCCAGGCTGCAGCAGCAGAGCCACGAAATAGCTACACACGGCACAAGACAGACCAGCACACCTGGGTGTGAGTCCTACAAGCTCCAACATGTTCTACAACATTCTAGCACAGCACAACACTCCACAGAGCTTATAGGAAACCCTGTCCACCCAGCACCATTTGACATCTCCTGACATAGACCCGAGACATGTGACAGGGACACTTGTTATGTCCTGACATGGGCAAAACATACGTGACCTGCCAAGACATGATACAACATCCTCTGACATGAACCAGAGAAGGTCTAACGTGACATCTGTGCCCCACAGACAGACTGCAGACAGGATTGAAATACGGTCCTATTCCTATCCCAGATATGGCCCAGATGTGACCCAACTGAGTCTGAGACCTGACCTGGATAATAAGACCTGCTTTAGACAACACTCAAATTAGGTCTCAGTCTCTTCTCCAAGGGACTCTGGGACCCAGACTCCAGACAAACCACACACATGGCCCAGATGAGGCCAGCAGAAAGAAAAAGATAATCCACAACAGAAACACAGACAAAACCACCCGGACTCTGACATGCCCCAAATGTCCTTGGCCACAACAGAGCCCCAGGCAGGACCATCACCAATGTAACCAGGCATACATTAGCCAGCTGTAACCAGGATCCGGGAGTAAATGTACATTGGCAAGTTGTGACCATTCAGCAGATGTCACACAGACATGCTCCAGACATGAGCAGACGACATGACCAGAGGTCAGACAGGTGGGGGTCCAGGTGAGACAGAGGCAGGAGCATCGCTGCCGCAGCCCCTCCAGCTTGCACTAGGGTCCCCGAACAGCTTGAGGCAGCACAGAGACCTTGGCAGCAGGCCAGCTGGGGTCATGCCAGTGTCTACCTGGAGCAAAGAGCACCGGCTTGATGCAGGTGGGGTGGAAGATGCGGACCACTGGGTTCCAGGGCCCCACCCACCAGCAGCACACATCCCCAAAGGTGCTCGCCAGACTCTGCGTGTACAGCAGACCTTCTTCTGAGCCCTGGATCTGGAGAACAAACAGAACCGGATGCTCACTCCCCTGGGCTACCAGAGAAGGACCTACAGCACTAGACCAGGACAGGGAGTGCAGGGAATTCCACTCAGCGGGTCATCATCCTCCATGCTGAGCCCTGCCTGGGCTCTCTGCCCGCATCCTCTGCACACAACAGTCTGGATCCCTCAGCTACAGTCACAGAAATACTCCTTCCCCTCTTGCATCCCAAACACTACACACCTGGGTCATCTTCCGTTCAGTTTCCCAGGTAGGCACTGAGGCTCTGAATGAGGAAGTCACATACACGCTCACGGCCCTCCAGATAGTGAGTCACATGCCTGTGACCAGAGTCTGAATCCATATCCTGAATGCTTAACCGCTAACCAGCTTTGTGTTCCCCCAAACAATCACACTGGGGGTCCCATGCCTGC